GAATTTTGCTTCCCCCATACCCACCTGACTCCTCTAGTTAAAGCTAGCCGTATAAAAACTGCAGACTCTAAAAATCATACTAAGAGATTGTTTCCTCCTTGGCTGTGTCTCACTGATATCGGGTCTTAGAAATGGAGCGTCTTGGAGCCAGGTGTGTGACCCAAGGGTAAGGGCCTTGCTCATCCCTGAAAATAACTCCCCATGTTATAGGATGACCAGTCATCCTATAATTGAGTAATACAGGAACTGACTAAAAAGAATAAAAAAATAGGCCAGGATTACAAGTATGAACATGGCTTGGTATTTTTGCTAAACGTTGGCATTTTTATCACTTGAGCCACATCCCCACTTTTGGTTTTTTGCTGATTAATCACAGTCTCTTGGATTTATCTGCCTGGGCTGGCTTTGCATCAGGATGCTTAGATCTTAGCCTCCTGAGTAGCCGGATTACAGGCATGCCAGCATTTAGCAAAAATTACAGCACTGGGGTAACCCACTGGGGGTGTGTGGAAGTTCCACGAATTCCCTCTACACGCAGAACCCCAGCCTAGACCTCTCTCGTTTGGCTAGTGCTGCTTTAAATCCTTTAGAATAAAGCAGTGAGTGTATTTCCTTGACTTCCACAAGCCTTTCCAGCAAATGACTGAACTTGAGGAATAAGTCTGTGATAAACCAGAAGTGAGGGCTGGCCCTAGGGGGTTGAGCTCGTTCCTTAGGGATCTGATTCTTCTAAGTATAGAAACGGTTAAAAACTGAATTGTTGAACACTCAGCTGGTGTCAAGGAACTTGGCTAGGTGCTGATGGCTCCTGTCTGTCAGCTACTCAGGAAGCTGAAATATGAGGATCGAGGTTCCAAGTCAGCCAGGGCAGGAAAGTCCATCAGACTCTCATCTCCAATTAATCAATAAAAAGCTGGAAGTGGAATGGTGGGAGGGGAGAGGAAAGGCTCTCCTTGTAGGGCCTGGAAGGCACCTGGCCTCAGTGACTAGCAGCTCCCTGAAGTGGGGAAGGTCAGCACTCCTGCTTTCCCCAGCTCTGGGTCTGGTTCTCAATTCTAGTATAACACCAGGCATCCCCGAACATCCTGTTGCCTAATGCTAACCGGATCCTTTTGGCACTAACAGATGCCAGGATCACTTCTAATCGAAGTCAGCAGGGCTATTCAAGGCCACACTGGACGAACCCGCCTCCCAACATGTGACACCAGGAGCCACTCCTCCTGTTCAGGAAGCCTGGCGGGCGGGCAGCCTCTCAGCTGGACTGCCCTTGAGTCTGTCCCCACCCATTCTCATATTAGCACTGTCCTTTGGGCAAAGTATATTTATGGAGGCATCGGTAGCTTTAATCTACATTGGGAATACATTGGGAATACTCTATACAGTCCGGGGCCGGGCACTGGTGGCTCACGCCTATAATCCGAGTGACTCAGGACACTGAGATTTGAGGAATTGCCGTTCAAAGTCATTGTGGGCAGGAAAGCCCGCGAGACTCTTGCTCCAATTAACCACCAAAAAGCTGGAAGTAGAGTTGTGGCTCATGTGGTAGAGTACTATCTTTGAGCACAAAAATGCAGGAATAGCACCTAGGTCCAGAGTTCAAGCCCCAGGACTGGGCCCCCTACTTCCCTGTCCCTCCCTGTCTCCAAAAAAAAGGCAGTCTGATCCATAGTTGGTTTACATTTCTGAGATCAAAAGGTGCTAACAGATTCATAAATATTCTCGATGACCTGGCAACATGGCTGACCATGACCCGCCCTGGATTAACAGTCTAAATCTAGCTTGGAGCGGATTATTTTGGGAAACTTGGACCTCCAACCTGTTGCACAGAAATGGAGCTGGAGATGTTTAACAAGCCAATGCCTCTGTCATTTGAAGATGAGACGGGATGTCCATTTTTACAGCTGGATAGGTTATAAACTTATTTTAGCTTGTGGACTCATTTTGGTCTTCTAAATCTCAGGCTAGAATGCAGAACTAGTGATGAGTGGCTTCCTTGGGCTGTTTGACACGATTGATCTTGTTCCTCCTCATGTTTGGGACCACTCTCCCCCCCCCCCCCCCCCCCGCAGCTGAAGGCTTGGCATTTTGAGGAAGTGGTCGAGTGGAAGAATTGAGGCCTAGTGGGAGGGAAGAAAGTCACTGAGGGTGTACATGTGAAGGGGATGTTGGGCCTTAACTCTTTGCTGTCTCTCTTGTGACTTCCCAGCTGCCATGAAGTGACTAGATCCCCCCCACACACACCTATCATTCACACCTGCCATGATGTATTAGGCCATCCCAGGCCTAAAGCCACAGGGCCAAGTGCTGTGGACGGAAACCTCTGAAGCCATGAGCCAAAATAAACCTTTTCCTCCTTAGGAGTAGTTTATGGCAGGCATTTTGTCACAGTAATGGGAAGCTGAGACTTTCCCCTCCAGAAAGAAGCTCTCCAGCTTGCTAACCTCATCACGCAGAAGTTTTTGTAGCTGGGTGCCTCATGCCTGTAATCCTAGCTACTCTGGAGGCTGAGATCTGCAGCTTGAGGTTCAAAGCCAAGTCTGGGCAGAACAGTCCCATGAGACTCTTATCTCCAGAAGTGGTGCTATGGCTCAGAGTGGCAGAGCATGATCCTTGAGTATAAAGAGCTCAGGGACAATGCCTAGGTCCTGAGTTCAAGCCCCCTAACCAACAACAACAACAACAACAAGTTTTTGTAGAGCTCTGTCCTCCAGCGCTCCTTTGGTCAGTAGGAGACACTGAAAATTCCTGGTTGCTCTGATGACCAGCCCAGCGGTTCCACCACAAGTCACCTCACTAGCAGAAACTCAGGTATGATGGAAGATCTGGCTCTGTCCAAGGACCCAAAAACAAAAAGCCAAACATTTTTCTTTTCTTTTCGTGCTGGTCCTCGGGCCTGAACTCAGGGCCTGGGCACTGTTTCTGGGCATCTTTGTACTCAAAGCTAGCACTCTACCACTTGAGCTACAGCACCACTTCTAGCCTTTTCTGAGTAGTTTCTAATTGGAGATGAGAGTTTCATGGACTTTCCTGCCTGGGCTGGCTTCAAACCACAATCCTCAGATCTCAGACTCCTGAGTAGCTAGGATCACAGGCGTGAGGTATCAGCAGCTGGCTCTTTTTCTGTTTTTATACATGTCAGTCTCACCTTAGGAGCTAAACTCCTGTAATAGAATCTCTTTGCAAGGGAACAGCACAAATCTCTTGAGTCTGGGGTATATTCTTGTGCCAAGAGCAAAGATTTGGAAAATAGCACTTTCGGAATTAGCTGCTAGAAAGCAAGACCTGGTGTGTCTAGCCATGATTTATATACAGGTGTTTGTGTTTTCACCTTTTTTTCTTTTTAGCTTTTACAATTCTTTTTTATTGTGAAAATACCATACAGAGGGGTTACAATTACATGGGCAAGGTAATGAGTACATTTCTTTTCAAGCGTTGTTGCCTCCTCCTTTGTTTTCCCTTCCCATCCCTTCCCATCTCCCCCCTCCTTGCTCCGCCCCTCCCCCCATGCCAAATTCATTTTCGACATAACATCTTGTACATCTCATTGTGGCCATGGGTCCACCTGTATCCCTATTTAAACACTTTGTTTTTTCCCTTCCCCTCCATAAATTATACCGACATCAAATACAGTGAAAACAGGGGTTATACTGTGGGGGAGGGACATACAAAGCAACAAAGAAATCATCTTATAAATATGTTAGAAACAATAGCAAGAAAGAAAAAACATTTGAGGCCTTATCTTGAGGTTCATTTCACCTAACATCAACTTATCTAGCCGTTTCTGCTTGTCTCAGACATATACTAGTTATTGCAAATAAGGGAAACCATGGGACCTATGTTTCTTTGGCCTGGCTTCACTTAATATAATTTTTCCAAGTCTTTCCATTTCCTAACAAATGGGGCAATGTCATTCTTTCTGATGGAGGCATAGAATTCCATTGTGTATATATACCACATTTTCTTGATCCATTCATCTACTGAGGGGCATCTGGGTTGGTTCCCTATCTTACCTATGGTAAATAATGCTGCAATAAACATAGTTGTGCTGGTAGCTTTAGTGTGGTCTTGTTTGTAAACATTTGGGTAAATGCCTAAAAGTGGGATTGCTGGGTCATAGGGGAGCTCTATGTGGAGTCCTTTGAGGAACCTCCATACTACTTTCCAAAGTGATTGAACAAGTTTACACCCCCACCAACAATGCACTATGGTTCCCTTCTGTCCACATCCCCTCCAGCATCTGTTGTTATTGGGGTTGTTTTCATCTTTGTTGTTGTTATTGGTCATGGGGCCTGAACTCTGGACCTCAGCTCTTCAGCTAAAGGCTAGGCTCTACCACTTGAGCCACAGCACTACTTCTGGTTTTCTGGTGATTACTTAGAGATAAAAGTCTCACACTTTTCTGCCCAGGCTGGCTTTGAAACGTGATCCTCAGACCTCAGCCTCCTGAGTAGCTAGGATTATAGGTATAGGCCATCAGCACCCGGCTGTGTTTTCATCTTTTATGGGAAGTTTTAAATTATTGGGTGGGGGGGGAAGAGCGGGGAGAGCAGGCCCCTGTGGCACAAAAATGCCTGTCATCCTAGCTACTTAAGAGGCTGAGATCTGGAGGATGATAGTTCAAAGCTAGCCCAGGCAGAAATTCTGCAAGACTCCATCTCCAAAAGAGTCTTCAGAAAGTTCTAGAATGTAGGGAAAACCATGTGATGCCTGCCCTGTTCATTCTCCTTACTTGGAAAGGGCATTGCAGTTACCTAGTACAGCAACTCCTCCTTCGCCTTTTTTTCATTTAACATTTATTAAAATAAAAAAAAAACTGCTCTTTTCAATTAGCAGAGCAAGCCCCTGATGGTTATTGTCCTTTGTGGTTCAAACTGCAAGTGTAATTAATCCTGGAGACTGTATATCTTTGCAAGAGTCAGCTAATATCACTGCCTTCCAGCTGCAAGCTCTGCTCCGGGGGGACACGGGAGCTCCTGTGGGCTTCTCCTCCCGCCCTCCAGGTGTGGGCTGGCGTGCCGCCCACGCAGCAAGTTTCACGTGGGCTGCCCTAATGGAAACGCCCTTGGCATCACCTTCGTCTGCCTGGCCCAGCTTAAGGTGGTAAAGCCTGCCAAGATAGTTGGCCCTCAGAACAGAAAGCCTTAGAAAGATGGCCCAGGTCAGGTGTCAGCGGCTCATGCGTGTCATCCTAGCTACTCAAAAGCTGAGATCTGAGTTTCAGAGTTCATAGTCAGCCTGGGAAGAAAAAGTAATCACATGAGACCCTTATCTCCAATGAACCAGCAAAAAGCCAGAAGTGGAACTGTGACTCCATTGGTAGGATACTCACCTTGAGCAAAAAAGCTAAGGGACACCACCCAGGCCCCAAGGTCTAGCCTCAGAACACACACACACACACACAGTGTCCAGGCCCCAAGGTCTAGCCTCAGAACACACACACACACACACACACACACACACACACACACACAGTGTCCCACAGGAAGGCAGTGGCCAGCCAAGCCCACCTAGCCCCTAGGGAACAACCTTGGCACTTAGGATTCCACCCCCTCTCCAGCAGATAGCATTCCCTGCAGGGCAGTACCGGCCACTTGCCCTGCCCAGAGAGGACCAGTAGCCTGCAGAGCCAGAGACATTGAGGACCGACTAAGCCGCTGCACCCCGCAGCTCCCCAGCCAATCCACTGCTGGGCTAGCAGCACAGGGCCCGCCCCTGCCAGCAAGAACTTTGCTTTCAGTGGGTCCACCGAAAAGCACTGTGGTGTTCCAGGTTCAAGTGAGAGAGCTCGTGAATAATGGAAGAGTAATCAGGACTCAGAAAGACTTGTAAGGGGCTGGGAAGGTGGCTCAGTGGTAGAATGCTCGCCTAGCATGCATGAGGCCCTGGATTTGATTCCTCAGCACCACATAAACAGCAAAAGCCAGAAGTGGCGCTGTGGCCCAAGTGGTAGATGCTAGCCTTGAGCAAAAGAAGCTCAGGGACAGTGCCAAGCCCTGAGTTCAAGCCCCAGGACTGGCAGAAAAAAAAAAAAAAAAGACTTGTAACCAGATGCTGGTAGCTCATTCCTGTAATCCTAGCTACTCAGGAGGCCAGGATCTGAAAATCATGGTTCAAAGCCAAGCGTGGGCAGAGAAGTCCATGAGACACATTTTTTTCCTGTCCATCATGGAGCTTGAGCTCCAGACCTGGTACTGACCCTGAGCTATTTTGCTCAAGGCTAGTGTTCTACCACTTGAACTACAGCTCCACTCCTGCTTTTTTGATGGTTAATTAGAGCTAAGAGTCCCGTGGACTTTGTCTATGTGACCCAGACCTGCCAGCCTCCTGCCCCAGCCTCCCAACTACTAAGATTACAGAATTGCCTGTTTGAATCCTGGATTGGGCGGCGGCTGCTCAGTGGGCTCACTGCCCAGGGAAGAGCCACGCTTGGGCCGCTCCTGAGGCCCTTGGGGAAGTGCCTTAGTGATCAGCCCACAGAAAGGACAGTCTGCCTTCCTCTCTGCTTATGTCTAGTCTGGAACAGGGTGTTCCTACCTCAGAACCTAAGAGAGACAAGGAAGTAAAGTGGTTCTGGTGACCCACAGCCACACATCCCACTGACCGCACGGTGCCCAGCACCCCGCCACGTGTCCCACTAATGAGACATCTTTGCTTAGAATTCCTTTATCTGTAACCCCTATGTTTACAGACAGTAACTGATGACAGTGTCCAGAAGGTGATGGAAATGCCCACCGAGATTTCAGTCGCACACACACCAAGAAAACTGCCTGAGAGTGAGCGGTCGTGTGTTTGTGTTTGAGCTTATTATCCATGTTTTCTCTGTAACATTCTACTCCCAGGATTAACAAAACAGAAGCAGGGTGCTGGTCGTGCACATCAGCTAATCGGGAGGCTCAGATAGGAGGATCACCGATCAACAGCAACCTGGGCAGGAACCGTCAGTGAGACTCTTATCTCCCATTAACTAGCAAAAAGCTAGAAATGGAGGTATGGCTTAAGTAATAGAGTGCCAGCCTTGAGTGAAGAAGCTAAGTAAGAGTGTGAGACCCTGAGTTCAAGTCCCAGTGCTGGCAGAAAGGAAGGAAGGCGGGAGGGAGGGAGGAAGGATGAAAGGAAGGAGGGAGGGAGGGAGGAAGGGAAGGAAGGAAGGAAGTGCCGGGCACTGGTGGTTCACACCTGTAATCCTAGCTACTCAGAAGGCTGAGATCTGAGGATCAGGGTTCAAAGCCAGCCCCAGCAGGAAAGACCGTGAGACTCCTATCTCCAATAAACCACCACTCCTATCACCAATAAACCTCATGCTTAACATGCATGAGGCCCTGGGTTTAAATAAGTACTGAAAATGAACATTGACAGTATAAAACCACTTATGGCTTTTACAAACAATGGTATGGGTAATATAATGGAGTTTGAGTCAGGACCAAAATGCTCTGCAAGCTGTGAAAATACAACTCAGAAATAAAATCTTTAGGGCTGGGAAGGTGGCTCAGTGGTAGAGTGCTTGCCTTGCATGCATGAGGCCCTGGGTTCCATTCCCCAGCACCACAGGAAAAAAAAAGCCAGAAGTGGCGCTGTGGCTCAAGTGGTAGGGCGCTAGCCTTGAGCTGAAGAGCTGAGGGACAGCGCCCAGGCCCAGAGTTCAGGCCCACGACCGGACCAAAAAAAAAGAAGAAGAAGAAGAAATAAAATCTTTTTAAAAAAGGAAAGAAAGAAAAACTTCAAGAAACATCAAATAAGTCGGGTGCCCAGTGGCTCACCTGTGTAATCCTAGCTACTCAGGAGGCTGAGATCTGAGGATTGTGGCATGAAGCCAGCTGGGGCAGCAAAGTCCCCATGAGATTCTTATCTCCAAGTAAGCACCAGAAAACTGGAAGTGGAGCTGTGGCTCAAAGTGGTGGAGCACCTAGCCTTGAGTGAAAAAGTTCAGAGGCAGCGCCCAGGCCCTGAGTTCAAGCCCCATAAACTACCAGAAAAAGAAAAAAGAAAGAAAGAAAGGTCAAGCCATGTGTGAATAGAGCAGTTTAGATACTTAGGCTCAGAGACCCATGTGAGAAAACAGAGTGGAAGGAAATGATTACAAGAAGAAAGGGAATTGGGAAGTGGAGGGAGTGGAATTTAGGGGGAGGTGAGAATCTGGGAAGAGAGAAGTTCTCACTGGTCAGATCGGATCTGAAAACACCTGCTTGCTTGGTGTCCACTCCCCTACGACCACCACTACCCCTTTTTTGTTTATTTTGGTCTCGTCTCCATTTAAATGTGTTCAGCTGAATGAATGCTCATTTCTGATCTGGAGTCTGAGGGAAGACTTCCCTCGGTTAAACCCTACCTCACCCCAGTGAAAATGAATGTCTAATTATAGGCCAAGTTTGAGATTTACTAGATGCAATCAACAGCTGTAGAGAAGACACTAGTCTTGCAAGAAAGAAAGAAATTGACACACTGTTACCATAAAAAGCCCAATTGTTAATTGCTTTTTTGGCATCCAGCTATATAAAGCAAACACCCTTTTGCTGTTTAATATTAAAGTAAATGTCGTGGAAAGAACATTGGGCTAGAACCAGGAGAGGCTGCTTGTCACCAAATACCTGTGATCTGGAGGGGAAATGTTCCATGTCTCTCAGGCTTCAGTTTTTTATCTATAAAATTGAAGGCATGAAACCAAATTATCACTTTCGGCTTAAAAATGCTATTCTGAATCTCGAAATCACAATGTACTCTTCATCACTGTCTGGCTCTTTCCCACAACTTCATGTCACGATAGCGTAATACAATTTTATGATTTTGTGGTATGATCAAGAGCCACACCATGGAGCCCAGGTACTCATGGCTTACACAGATAATCCTAACTACTCCAAGAGACAGAAATCCTGAGGATTGCTGTTCAAGGCCTCCCAGGAAAGTCAGGATGAGCATCAGCCAGGCAAGTGAGTTCCAGCTATGCAGCAGCACAGAAAAAAAAAATGGAGTTAAGCATCTCCAGTTTGTTTTTTTTCTTTTCTGTAAACGCAATACTTTTCTGGTTGTAATCATGAATTAAAGTTTGTCTTGAGGCCCTGCAGGTCTTTTTGGGGGGGGTGGAGGGAATAAGAGGGGGTACTGGGGCTTGAACTCAGGCCCTCAGTGCTATCCCTTAGCTCTTTTGTCTCAAGGCTGGAGGTCTACCACTGTGAGCCACAGCTCTACTTCTGGCTTTTTGCTGGTTAATTTGCAATAGGAGTCTCACAGACTCTCCTGCCCAGGCTGGCTTTGAACCTTGATTCTCAGATCCCAGACTTCTGAGTAGCTAGGATTACAGATGTGAGCCACTGACACCTGGCTTGTTTGCTTCTTAAAGTGTGGACCTAGATTGTTTCTGAAGAAGGTGGGCTGGGTGACACTGTACACTCAGAGCTTGCAGGGTGTCCCCTGTACCCTGACAGCCACAGATCTCCTTCCCTCTTCTGGACATTTCACATAGAGGGTGAAAGTTTCAGTGCATTGATTTTTTTTTAATGTTTTTTTTCTAGGATCCTAAACACTTCAAATCAGAGAAGACAGGACGAGGCCAGCTAAGGGAAGGCTGGCGAGATAGTCATCAGCCGATCATGTGTTCTTACAAGCTGGTGACCGTGAAATTCGAGGTGTGGGGGCTTCAGACCCGAGTGGAACAATTTGTGCACAAGGTAAAGTGGATCCCAGAGACGCTCCTGGGGCTGTGGACAAGGTCGCTGCCTTGGTTGTCAAGTTCAAGTACTGCGCTATACAACCAATGCCCAAGTGCTGAGCCCCGGCCAGGTAATTAGCTAGGAAACACCTTAGGTGAGAGAGCGTATTTATTTACACCTGAAGTTCCATCTTCTCCTGAGAAACTAGCTATAGACATGGTACACTTTAGCTCTCATTCTGTGACCTCCTCCACGCTGACCAGGTCAGTGTAATTTGGGAAGGGATGCTTTCAAAATGTACCGCTCACTTTGGCCTCAGAAAGAGGCCGAATAGCTTCTTTCCTTGGGGGGGGGGGGGGGGGGGATTCTCACTCACTCAGATCTTGCGAACATAAGCTAGAACAGAACTGCTAAAAAAAAAAAAAAAGAACTGCTAGTCGTCCTTCGAGACACATAGTCCAGCATTTCTGCTCACTTAATAACTCTGTTACTGAAGAATTATTAAGAGCCCCAAAACACAGATCTCAATTGCATACTCACTTTTGTCAGAATAGATTCATTTTGTAGCAGAAACCTACGTGGGGATGATTTAAGTTTTCTGAGGGTTTCTAAGGTGACTCTTCTCCTTGTGACATAAAAACTATAGGAAATGTGATATACAATATGACCTTTTATAGCTTGTCACTTTCATAAAAATAAATAGCCCCACACTGGGAATGTGGCTCAGTGGTAGAGTGCTTGCCTAGCATGCATGAAGCCCTGGGTTTGATTCCTGAGTACCACATAAACAGAAAAAGCCAGACATGGCGCTGTGGCTCAAGTAGTAGAGTGCTAGCCTTTGAGCAAAAAGAACTCAGGGACAGTGCCTAGGCCCTGAGTTCAAGCCCCAGGACTTGCAAAATAAATAAAACACAATAAATAGCCCTGTGCTGAACACTGGTGGCTCACACTTTTAATCCTAATTACTCAAGAGGCTGAGATCTGAGGATCATGGTTCAGAGGCAGCCTGGACAGGCTCAACTCTGTGAAACTCAACTCTTAATTATCAAGCCAGGCAACTGGTGGCTCATGCCTGTAATCCTTGCTACTCAGGAGGCTGAGATCTGAGGATTGAAGTTCAAAGCCACCCCAGGCAGGAAAGTCAGTGGAACTCTTATCTCCAATAAACCACCAGAAAACCGGAAGTGATGCTGTGGCTCAAGTGGTAGAGCGCTAGCCTTGAGCTGAAGAACTCAGGGACAGCACCCAGGCCCAGAGTTCAAGCCCCGAGACCCACAAAAAAAAATATTATTATTATCGTGTCTGGAAATGGCACTGTGGCTCAAAGTGGCAGAGCACTAGCCTTGAGTTCAAGTCTTAGGACTAGCAAGCATAGATTTGATTGATTGATTGATTGATAGATAGACAGACAGACAGATTCCCTTTCATAGATCTCAGCCTTCTGAATAGCTAGGATTTCAGGCAGGAGCCACCAACTTCTGGTTTGATTGTGTAGTTTTGAGAGTTGTTTTTTTTTAAACTACCAGTGAGAATGATGCTGTATCACGGTATTCCTTTGCCCATTTTCAAATGAAATGAGGTGTTACTGTCACCCCCAAACACACCTGCTCTGGCACATGAGTTGCTAATAGGGATCTGAGGATAGCATTTGCATGAGTTTAAGTGCCAAGAATGCCTTTCTCTGAACACCTTTGTTTTTTTGGTTGTTGTTTTGTTTTGTAAAGAATCCATTCACAGTGAAGGGGGAGAAAATGTTGGAAAGCGAGCCATTAACACATTATTGGAGTCTTGTTTCCAGCGACAGCTGTGTTGTGTTTAATGTAATAGAGTAGATTTACCACCACTGGGCTTTGAAGTTCTCCTTTAGATTTCCATGAGTCTGACTTGCTCAGCTCTCAAATATGCATGGTGCCTGCTCCTGTTTCTATTCACCCGGGCTTCCTACCTCCAAATCTTAGAAGCCTGCGTACATATCCAGAGGCCTAGAGGAATAAACACTTCATTAGATCTGTTTCTTGGGTTTCTGCAAACTTACTGAATTAAAATCCTCCATTTACCAGCCAGGTGCCAATAGCTCACACCCATAATCCCGTCCATTTGGGAGGCTGAAATCTGAGGCTTTCTAGGTTCAAAGCCAACCTAGGCAGGAAAGTATCTGAGATTCTTATCTCCAATTTAACCACCAGAAAATTGGAAGTGGAGCTGTGGCTCAAGTTGTAGAGGGATAGCCTTGAGCAAAAAAAAGAAACCCAAGGACAGTGCCCAGGCCCTGAGTTCAAGCCCAGGACTGGCAAAAAATAAAAAATATATGCTGGACACCGGTGGCTCATACCTGTAAATCCTACCTACTCAGGAGGATGAAATCTGAGGATCACAGTTCAATGCCAGCCTGGGCAGGCAAGTCCATAAGACTCTAATCTCCAGTAAACCACCAGAAAACCAAAAGTGACGCTGTAGCTCTAGACTTGAACTGAAGAACTCAGGGACAGTGCCCAGGCCCAGAGTTCAAGCCCTACAACTTATATATATATATATATACACATATATATACACATATACATATACACACATATACATATACACACATATACATATACACACATAGAGTACACACATATACATACACACATATATGTATATATATACATACATATACATGTATGTGTATATATATATATATGTATACTCATATGTATGAGTAAATTGTTTCTTATTAATGTATTGTTTGTTTACTTTTGTCATCATGGTGCCTGAACTCAAGGCCTGGGTACTACCCCTGACATTTTGTGTTCAAGGCAAGCCCTCTACCAATTTGAGCCACAGCTCCACTTCCAATTTTCCAGTGGTCAAATTGGAGATAAGAGTCTCATAGACTTTCCTGCCTGAGCTGGGTTTGAACTACAATGCTCATATCTCAGCCTCTTGAGTAGCTAGGAGTGCAAGTGCAAGACACTAGCACCCAGCTGTATAAATATGTTTCTATATATTTGTACATATATATGAGTAAATTGCTTTTTTTCCTTCTATTACATGAAAGTCATACATAGAAGGATATGTATCTTGTATACCACACCTTGATTGAATCCATATTTAGGATATTTCATCTGAGAAGAAAGAATGTTAGAAGTAGCTTGTTACCCAGAGAAGCGGTTCTGATTTCCAGTATTTATGACCTCCTGGCACCAATATGAGACACACCCTCCCACAAATGAAAAGTAGGCGCTGTTCTAACTAAAGACCTAAAAGAGAAAAATCTCAAGGTAGCAGGGGACAGTGACTCAGGGGCCTAGTTGCTCAGGAGATGGAGATCTGGAAGATTTAAATCAAAGCCAGCCTGGACAAAAAAGGGAGAAAACTGAGTATGATAGTCCTGTCTACATAGGAAGCTGATATTGGGAGGACTGTGGTCCTAGGCCAGTCCAACATACACACACACACACACACACACACACACACACATTTTGACAAGACCTCAATTCATCAAAAAAAAGCTAAGCATTGTGGTGCAAGCTTATTATCCCTGCTACAAGAAACAAATAGGAAGACTTCAGTAGCCCATTTTTGAGCAAATAGCAAGACCCTATCTAAAAAATAACCAGACCTAAAAGGGCTAGAAATATGGTTCAATTACTAAGCAAGTACAAAGCTCTGAATTTAAGCCTCAATACCACCACAAAAAGGAAAAAAACAAAACAAAACCTTAAGATGATTTTACCCAGACATAGTTGCCATTAGTGCATGAAAACCTTCCCCAAAACAATCACTCGATACATGGTTACAAAGGAAAAGGAGTTTAATGTCAGTAACCTGACAGGCTACCGACAGGCTGATGGTAGCAGCTGGGCAGCACTACACGCACAGTTGTATAGGGCTGGATTCATGTGGGATGTGAGAGTGAGGGATTCCACTGGGGCGTTGCTAAGATTTATGGTTGTAGCTGCACAGACAAGAACTGCTTTAATGAGGAGGGGGAGGTTCTGTCATTAGAGGAAAGGCTGTGTCATCTAATTTCTGGGAAGGATCACCTGATCTTAGGGAAGGTCTGTGCGAGGCCTAAAATGGTGGATTGGCTCCTAAGATGGAGGAGGTTAGGCTAACAGTGCCCAACCCCAGTCCAACTCCAATGAGACAAAGCCATTGACATCTGTCATTATATGGGTGTTGTGGAAAGGGCCTGAGGTGAACAAGCATAATATAATACATTTCAGCCGACAGCGTCACCACACATCGATTGAGAAACCCATAGTTGCCAAGTTCCCAGAAGTGAGGGCCATCTTTTTTTCCCAGAGTTTTAATGAAACATGGGTTTGTTTTGTGCCTGTCCTAGGCCTTGGACTCGGGGCCTGCGCTCTGTCCCTGAGCTTTTATAATTTTTTTCCCCTCAAGGCTAGCACTCTACCACCTTCCACTTCCGGCTTTTTAGGTGATTCATTGGAGATAAGAGTCTCATGGACTTTCCTGCCCATGCTGCCTTTGAATAGTGATCCTCAGATCTCAGCCTCCAGAGCAGCTAGAATTACAGGCATGAGCCACCGGTGCTGGGCTTGGAACATGGTATTATTTCAACCTCCTCTTTCTCCTTTTTTAGGTTGTCCGAGACATTCTGCTGATTGGACACAGGCAGGCTTTCGCGTGGGTTGATGAGTGGTATGGTAAGTCACCTTGCCTGAAGTCACTTGGAGAACCATTTCCTAATGTGTTGGCTTGGGATTTCAGTTCATCTAGAAGGCCAAGCACAAAGGCAGGCTACTGCTTCCTGTCTTAGAAATGGCCCTGTCCACTGAACATAATAGAGATACAATTATAGAAGCTGGGTCTAAAATAGCCTCAGAGCTACTGACAAAGTAGGCCTCAGTATGTTTGATGCTTGTATATAGTTGATATGCAAGGCCCTCTCTTTCTCTGTTGGATGCATTTCAAACCCATCCTAATTTATCCCCAAACTCCAATTCAGGATCAAAGCTGTCTCATGTCAAGAAAAACAGTCCTTTGAGGCAGAGAACACTTGAAACAATCCCTCACCAATTGCTACCAGTTCGGTAAAAATTCAAGGGCACATAGAGGAGCAGGTGCCCCAGTAAGCCTATTGGAAGCCATTGTTCTGACTTGTTGGTTATGAAACGGGAAGAGTTAAGGAAGTTCTGCGCTTTGTCACTCTGTGAAAATGAGGCTTGCTTATCCTGTGACGGATGGCCCGCCCTCCCCAGATGCTCAGCCCTGTGGACATGTGCACGAGTCCTTTGTATTCCCAGAACCCATCATCAGATGACCTGTGTCCTTGGCTATAAATAGAAATGAACACACCCAATGGGTGACTTAGCTTCCATCTGACTTTCAGATCATTTATCTAATGAAATACCCTTCTCCTTGACCCTCCCCCAAGTCCCATCCCATTTGTTCTGAGTGTAACTTAAATCATATTTTGGACCTTTTCCATCATCATTTCACCCATCCCTCCCATTTCTTAGCCGAAGGTAGCACATTTAAAGTAACAGGATACGTGGGGCAGAATGGACCAAGACAGCGATGGTTACAAATGTTGCTGCTTCTGCGCCACATTTGGACAGGTGTGGTTCTGTAAGCTATGGGCTTGTTTTGTGTTGAGTTTTCCAAGACCTGTACCTTCTGAGGAGTACATGAATCTTCCTGGGTTGGTCCAAATACACCCTCTGTTGAGTAGCAAGTTGCCGTATATAGCAAATTGTGGTGAAAATATCCAAAGAACCATCTATTTGTCTTGTCTTTAGTGAGGCAGGTGGATAAGCAGCTTCCTGCAATTACTTCCCCTCATCCCGAAGCAAATCTTTGTGGGTGGTAACCCCACCTAGGGAGCTCCTCTCAGATTCTCAAAGGGAGCATAGCTACCACCACCCCACCCCACCACCCCCAAAAAAGGTGAAACGCTTCTGACCTCTCCTAACCTGGTCATCTCAGAGCTCAAGGTCCACACGCTGTTGCCAACCTCAAGGCAATAGCGAACGGGGATTTGAAGAGTATTCATAATTGAACTGATCAGAAGTTTGGCAAGGGGACAAGCATCTGGAGGGCCAGAAGTCTGTGACTGTAAAGACCAAGAGAGAGCTGGGAAGGTGGCTCAGTGGTAGAGCGCTTGCCTAGCCCGCATGGAGCCCTGACTTCCATATACACAGAAAAGCCGGAAGTGGTGCTGTGGCTCAAGTAATAGAGTGTTAGCTTTGACTACAGAGAGGCTCAGAGAGAGCTCAGGCCCTGAGTTCAAGCCCCAGGACCAGGAAAACAAGAAGAAGAGGAGGAAGGAAGGAAGGAGGAGAGAGGGAGAAGGAAGAAGATGACAACAACCAAGAGAGACTTGGATAGGTTTCATTGTGGACTTTCCAGGAAAAAGGTAGCTGTAGAGAACAAAATATTGATAGAGGAATGGGGAGATAAAAAAAAATGTAGGTGAGTCTCCAGGGTGTGAATGACCTGTACAGAAAATAGGAGGGGAGCAGCTGGGAAGGTGTCTCAGTGGTAGAGTGCTTGCCTTGCATGCATGAGGCCCTGGGTTCGATTCCCCAGCACCACATAAGCAAAAAGAAAAAAAAGCCGGAAGTGGCGCTGTGGCTCAAGTGGTAGAGCACTAGCCTTGAGCTGAAGAGCTGAGGGACAGCGCCCAGGCCCAGAGTTCAGACCCCACGACTGGACCCCCAAAAAAAAATAGTAGGGGAGGGGGTTCTTTGCAAACCAAGGGCAAGGAAGAGACTTAAGGACATTTAATTCCGTGAGAGGGGAGCAACTGGGGAGAGGGAAATGGAATGCTAGGCAGGCATAAGGCCCAAATTCTCAAATTAGTACAGGAACCCAAAGCTCGAATAATAACTGAAAGGATATTCAAGCTCTCCCGTCTGGAAATCTTTAAGAAAAACACCTAACTATTTACCTAGGGTAGATGAGGGAAAGGCACTTAACAGCCCAAGAAGTCTGTTGATCAAGAAATCCTTTGTGTGTCTGAGTGGAAGACAGAGGGGAAGAATGTGGGCTTTCATGGATGCAGATCATCAGAGCCCTGTTCCTCCTCCCCGCCCCACCCCAGTGGGTCCCCACTTTCTAGATCCACAGCCAAAGCCCCAGGCAAAACAAGCAACCTTTTAACTCACTGGTGGGCCGATCTGAGAAGCACACACCCAATTTCTTGTGAACTGCTGCAGGCCACCCAGCTGAGGTGTTAGTGGAGACCACAATGGCTCCTTCATTGCCTGCCACAGACACTCAGGAAATGCACTGAATGGAAACAGCCCCAGCCACTCTGACTCCCAAGCCTCGTATTCAAGGTCGAGCTGGGGACGGTGGGTCTTCCAGGAAAATCAGTGACTGTTACCAAGGCCAAGAGCACACCCAGAGACCCCTTCAATTCAGGCACCTGGTTGGTGTTGCTTCTTTTCTTTGGTTTGTATAGGCTCAGTGAGGCTCACATTAAGGTGTAAAGAAGTCTTTAAGCCGGGCACCAGTAGCTCACGCCTGTAATCCTAGTTACTCAGGAGGCTGAGATCTGAGGATCACAGTTCAAAGCCAGTTTAGGCAAGAAAGTCCCTGAGCTTCTTATCGCCAGTGAACCACCAGAAGACCAGAAGTGGCGCTGTGGCTCAAGTGGTAGAGCACTCACCTTGAGCTGAAGAGCTGAGCGACAGTGCCCATGCCCAGATTTCAAGACCCACAACTGACCAAAAAAGAAAAAGAAGAAGAAGCCGCCTTTGTTGGGGTTGGAGGTGTGGCTCAGCTGGTAGAGTGCCAGCCAATGAATGAAAGCATCGGATATCAAGTTTGAGTCCCAGTCTTGGGCCTAAAAAAAATAATAATAATGAAGAAGCCTTTGGCAGCCTGGCACTAGTGACTCATACATATAGTCCCAGATTATAGATCTGAAGATGGTAGTTCAGAGCCAGCTCAGGAAGAAAAGTCTATAAGACTCGTAACTGCAGTTCACCAGCAAAAAGCTAGAAATGGAAATGTGACTCAAGTGGTAGAGCCTTAGCTTTGAATGAAAAGCCAAATAAGAGCATAAAGCCCTGAGTTCAAGTCCCAATAATGGCCCTTGGGTACCACGTAGAGCAGAGATTCTGGTGAGTGCCCCCCCCAAACCTATAGCATTAGCATCTTGTGGGGATTTATTAGAAATGTATATTCTCAAGCCTCTACCCCAAACCTAATGACTCAGAAATTTTGGAGGATTTAGGCCCAGCCATCTGGTCTACCAGGGAAATCTGATACCCTAGCAGTGATTCAGAATCACAGATTCTTATGGGATAGGTTATAAACCACAATGGAATTTAAGGATAATTTAAATCATTCTGTCCCAAAGGGTTAGACCAAGAGATCATAGTTTTCTTCAGGGACAGCTGCTAAACTTAGATCCTTTACAAGAAAACACTCCCCTTTAAATAGATGAATTAGAACATGAGTCCCCCACTGGGCAGTGTATTTGGAGCTGAATTTTAGCCCCATTCATGTCAGCTCTGTGTTCAGTGCACCCCCTGGGCACCGGTCTGCACCATGCATGACAGCCCTGGCTTCTCTTTAATTAGACTCACCACCTTCAGAGTGTCATTATGAGTCAAGAAAAGAGATGCTGGACAGGACAGGATCCTTTCCTATCCAAGGGTTCATTTTTGCATCTCTCCTGAGCATTTGCCTTCCACGAAAGTCGTTCCCTAAGCAGATTTGATTCTGTTCGTGTTCATTGTAAAGTGGAGCCATTTCCGTGTGGAGGAGTTGAGTTGGTCTTTCAAAGCCCTGATTGGTCTTTATCTGTGAGCCTTGGGTCTTTGTGCATGACTAGAACACTAATCCGAGAAGCTATAACACATTTCAGGAGATGGGGAGAGAGGAGTGGTGGATAAAAATAGCCAGCCCAGCTTTACAAAAGCATGATTTTGCTTCTCAAATCTGACAGTATTTTCAGAGAGGCAAGCTGAGGGAGCCAGAGGGACCTGTGACCCGGGGGACCTCACCAATGTCTTTGAAAATCTGAAGCTTCCCCTAAAAAAGTCTGCGGGAAAGTGACTTCTAGCTGGCATAGATGACACTGCACCATGAAAGTGACTTGGAAATCAGCTGGAGTCCCTGGAGCCGGCCTGCCAACCAAGGAAGCCTGCTCAGCTGGAGAAATAGGCCTGCAAGGCTAGTGTTAGCTGGTAGAGATCGCCACGCCAGCGTTGCCCAACAACCTTGAGTGCCTGGCTCTTGTGCAGTGTGTGTGTGTGTGTGTGTGTGTGTGTGTGTGTGTGTGTGTGTGTGTGTGTGTGTGTGTGTGTATTCCCAGGGAGAAAATTCAGAAGGAAGGAAGAGGGGGAAAGAGGGAGGGAGGAATAAAGGAAGGAAGAGGGGGAGGAACAAAAGAAGGAAGGAAGTGGGGCCTAGCTTTTTGTATTGAATTATAATCACTTTGATGAGCTCATACGTGACACTTGCCAAAGGAGAGACCACCATTTTGCTGCAGCTAGAGTATCCAATCTAACTAACAATTGCTGGCTCGGCCCTGAGTCAAAGCCTTGCTCTAGACTTTCATTTTGACTTCAAATCAGAAGAAATGACCTCTGTTTTGGCTTTGAAGGTGGGAAATGGGTAGGTGGCATTTGCAGGAGAAAGTAGCATCCCCGGATAACTACTGCTGAGCAAGACCGGCATGTTGAGTCCT